ATTTTTCGTTTTTGAACAATGCTGTTGTTGTCTCATAATCTTTTCACACTTGGCCTGTTTTACCTCTGTGTAAGTTTCCTCATCTATATTTTTAACCAACATTTAACTAACCATGACCAGTTATGTGCTATTCTCATAATTTTGTACAAAGAGGCACAAAACTCGCATCTGTAAAATAAATTCGCAACTACTTGTATTGTCGGAGACATTTGAAATTATTTGCTACTGGTTTGTTTACTACTCCCTCCGTCCCATAATGTAAGACGTTTTTTGACACTACACTACATTATGGGACGGAGGGAGTACTTATTTGAAATATTTTACCCTTGTTCATATTTTTTGTAATGTTGACTCTAAATATGCTCTGCAACCTACAGATGTAGCTTTATGAACTTTGCAAGAAATGCGAGGTGCCTTGAGTGCAATGAGCATCGGCCAAAGAAGATGTTGACTGGCAGAGAGTGGGAATGCCCTCAGTAAGCTTCGACATGCTAACTTCATTTTTGTGATTTGAAATTATTTATGTTTCGAGATGGCTGACTTCGTATTGTCCTTTCGCCAAGGTGTGAATTCTATAATTATGGGAGGAACATGTCATGCTTAAGATGTGCTTGCAAAAGACCAGCGACAACTGCATCTGCTGGTGCTGGTTTAGGTGGTGTAGCAGAGCTTCTTAATGTAACTAATGCTGGTAGATCTGAAATTGAGAGAAAACTCGCTCAAAGTGATGAGAAGGCAGAAAGGTGGTTGAGCAAAGTATCTCAACTTGACGATTCTGCTGATTTAAGTAGTCTGGCAGCTGATGAGGATTTTCCTGAGATTATGCCTATGAGGAAGGGAGTCAATAAATTTGTAGTTAGCACACGCAAGACACCATTGGAGAGAAGATTGGCAAGTGCACAGTACAGCAGTAACAATAGCCCTCAAGCAACAGCATCCGGCTCCAAGATTAGTCAAACTTTAGACAGGATACTTGGGCGTTCGGCATCTACTTCTGCCCCAAACAATCAGTCTGATAATGGGGGTGTAACTGCTGAGACTCCCAGGAAATTAACAGGCCATCTTGGTGATATCGACCCCGTTCCTTTTGTGCCATTATCTGCTGATCTGTTTACCAAGCCACAGAATGCAAAGACTAATGAACAGGCAGATAGGGACAGTCAAATAAATAAGGAAACTGGTAGTTCCGCACCCGATATCACACAGGCATCAACTGAGAGGAGAGATGTCGATAAGTCATTAGATACTGCTGAGAAATGGTCCAAGAAAGTCGCAGAACTCGATAGTGTAAATGACCTTTCAAGTGCTATTTCTGATGAAGACTTTCCTGATACTATGCCAATGAGGAAGGGTGAGAATCGGTTTGTTATTAGTAAGAAAAAAGACCGCTTGCTGACATCACCACAGTACCAGAGGCGCAGTGTGCTTGAGCAGGCTGACAATTCTGATTTCGTCCCGTTTGTTCCATTTCCTCCTGATTATTTTGCCAAGAAAGATGCGCCAGCAGAGAGTACTCCAGATACAGGAATAGTGTCAGAAAGTTCTCCATCAACTGATAAGCTGCCAGAAACAAATGCTTCATCAAGACATTCGGGAAATAGCCAAAACACCTCACAGGTGATTGGCCCTCAGGGAAGTAGCATCATGAATAATGAGAACTCGAATAGGAATTACTCTCAGCAGAGCTCGAGTCCAGGTGGTTATACACGTGGTGGAAGCAGCAGCCAGCAGTATCAACAACAACCTTATGGGGTGGGTGATAGATCTGCTGGTACACCAAATTCAGGCGCCTGGAATCCAAACTACTCCCAGGGGACGTCTACTGATGTCAGAGGAGGATCTAGCAACTATCAGCATCAACAGCAACCCCATGAGGTCGGTGATCGATCTCGGGGAACTTCAAATACTGGTGCTTTGAACACAAACTACTCCCCCGGGAGGTTTAATGATGGCAGAGGTGGAGCTAGCAACTATCAGCATCAACAGCAACCTCATGAGGCGGGTGGTCGATCTAGTGGAACTTCAAATACTGGCGCTTGGAACACAAACTACTCCCAGTCCCAGGGGAGTTTTAATGATGGCAGAGGTGGATCTAACAACTATCAGCATCAACAGCAACCTCGTGAGGTGGGCGATCGATCTAGTGGAACTTCAAATACTGGTTCTTGGAACACAAACTACTCCCAGTCCCAGGGGAGGTTTAGTGATGGCAGAGGTGGATCTAGCAGCTATCAGTATCAGACACAACCTCATCAGGCAGGTGGTCAATCCAGTGGCTCTTCGAACACTCTGAACACAAACTACTCTCAGGGGAGCTTCAACGAGGGTCGAGATACATCTACTTACAATCAGGGAAGCTATTCTGCACAACCATCTTATTCGCCCGGCTATAGTAATCACAGCAACAGCAATTCTTGGAGCAGCAACAACAACCAAAATTGGAGTGGTTCACATCCTGATAGTAGGGTTTCTACTACTGGCATTGATTCCACTAACCCTAATCAAGGAACAGGCTACTCAAGCTACGGAGGTGAAGGTTATACTGGAAAGAGCTTAGAAGGCTCTGCTGTGAAGGACCCCGATCCCCTGGACATGTCCGAGGAAGCCAAGGCTGAGAGATGGTTCAGGAGGGCAGCGCAGATAAAGGACATCTCCGAGCTTGCCAACATTCCCGACGAGGACTTCCCCGAGATAATGCCAATGAGGAAGGGGGTGAACAGATTCGTGGTGAGCAAGAGGAAGACGCCATTGGAGAGGAGATTGACTTCTCCTCAGTACAGAAGGAACCTACCGATCGTAAGCTCCGAGCCTGACAAAGATGGTAGCTGAAAGCAGGCATATCTATTCTGATGAAAGAGCGAAGAGTTTACACAAGGATATATACTTTTACTTCTGATCGTGATAATAAGCAGCAAGGCGAAGAAATCCACGCGGAGGAAACAGCTGAACACCCAGAACATTTTTTCTTATATCCAAAAGTTTTGTTCTCGACCAGTAGGGATTTGCTGTTTAATTTGTTACGTGTATCAGTTGTATACATTTGTTGTTGTACCTGAAACCGTGAGTGCAATCATCAAATAATTTGCGCGTCGTTCTCCATGTAGTCATCTTGCTTTGAAGATCAAAGCCTTGAGTGAGGCTCGGGTGTTTATTTCTCAAAAACTTTATCGTAGTCAGAATAGAGTAATAGATGGCTGGTGAGATACAGCCGCACTGAATGTGCCACAGGGCTACCAGTGGCGACTGGCGAAGATGGGGGGCCCTAATATCTGGGATTTAGTGCATATTTGCTAATGAACAGTGAAAAATAGTGATTGTTTGATGCGAAAAATCAGTTTTTTCAGTGGTTTGGCCCTCCCTGATCAGTTTTAACCGCACTGATACAATTTTTCTGACTCCACCTCGTGGACGTATTCTTGTCTCTTAACAATAAATCTGTTACCCCTAAAAAAACAATAAATCTGTTATCATGAAATAAAACTTCTTTACCCCCGAAAAAAAACACACGAGGAGGCGTCACCCCTCGAAAAAAAAAGAACAGGAGGCGTCGCCCAGAAAAGACGTTTTTTTTAGGGATCGCCCAGAAAAGACGCGGCACGAGAAATGAGAAAGGGGCTACAAAACGAAAAACCCGGTCCAGCAACAGTGGGCTCCAATCAGCAACCCTACTCGAGCGGCCCATTAGCCCAACAACCCCGCGCCCACCCCACCCCACCCCTCGCGAGGTCATCAAAACCCTACCCGCGGCACACATCTCCCCCCACTTCCCCCCATCCGCCGCCGCCGCGCCTCCTCCTCGCCCAAGGTATCCCTCCCATCCTCTCCTCCCTCTCCTCCGACCCATCTCCCCCGTCCTCCTAGGTCAATCCGTCCGGCCGCCGCCCCTCCTTCCGCCGCGCCGCTCCTCCGCCAGTTCTTCTTCCGTTTCGTTTCGCAAGGTCTGGTTGGTTTGGATCCGATGATAGGCGGCCGCGTCTCTCGATTCGTAGCCTAGGTCACCGGCAGTAGCTTTGTTCCTAGGGTTTCGCCGTCGCGGGTGTCCGAGATGCGTTCGTTTTCCGTGAGTCCAATCTTTAGTCGCGGTGGAGCGCGCAATGGGGTTTGTTGTTCCGTGATCTGGACGCGTCCATTAGTTTCATTGGTTGAGTGAGTATCTGCCTGCTGTTCGTGAGATCTTGCACAGGTACTGGGGCACCCGACACAGATTTGCTGTTGTAGTTTCCGGCGGCCTAATCTTTACTGTGCAAGATGTGCATGGGTACGCAGTATGCAGCAGTTGCTTCTTTGTGTTTGTGCTGCCGGTGACCCAATAATCACCCAGCCTTTTACGCTTCAGGTGTTTTGTTATTCTATGTTTGTGTAAAGTAGGATCCAGAGCACAAGTACTGAGGCACGGTAGCCGTTCTGGTTGCTCAGTTGCCATTTATTTGTTGTGCAAGAGAGACATGGGAACCCGCTTTGCAGCAGAAATTGAACTCTACTTTCTGCCGCCAGTAGTCGCCCAACATCACCCATTTGATTCTTGTGCGGGATGCACATCTGACATTGTTTGTGTCAAGAGTTTCTTCTATGAGTACAGCTAACTCATGGGCCTAAGGTCGTAAGAGATTCAACTTCTCGTGACCAGTAGGTTCGCTCGTTTGGACCAGAGCACAAGTACTGAGGCATGGTAGCCGTTCTGGTTGCACAGTTGCCATATTTTTATTGTGCAAGAGAAACAGGGAACCCGCTTTGCAGCAGAGATTTACTCCACTTTCTGCAGCCAGTAGTTGCCCGATACCACACACTTCAGTATGAAAGATGAACATGGGTACACAATTTACACTCTGGTTATGAGGTTTTGATGATCGTGCTTTGTGGTCATTCTATGCTAAAGAGCCTGCTTTGTTGTTGATTGTTCTTTTGTGTTACTTGCTTTATGTACTTATTAAGTGTTGCTCATGTTTGTTCTGATCTCATTTTTAGGTAGGAGCTTGTGAAAGTTCTCTAAGGCTGAGAAGATGGTTCTGAAGTAAGCTATATGTTTTTGCAAATTAGCTTGTCTTCTTTTTAGTTTGATAGCACTGTGCTCAAATTGTTGTTTCATTTGTTCTACAGGACCGAGCTCTGCCGTTTTAGCGGCCAGAAGATTTACCCTGGGAAGGGTATCAGGTTCATTCGTTCGGATTCGCAGGTAAACTTTGTTATGTTAAGGTCACTTATATTGTTGTTGAATGGTCTAGGTCATCAGTATTAAGCCTAGAAGTTTTTTATGTTGATTCTTCTTCAAACAGGAACAACCGACTAATGATTCAGATATTTTGTGCTGCAGGTTTTCCTCTTTGCCAACTCAAAATGCAAGCGCTACTTCCACAACCGCCTGAAGCCTGCAAAGCTTTGCTGGACAGCAATGTACAGGAAGCAGCACAAGAAGGTATCACATTTTGGCTGCTAAGTTATTCATTTTTAGACCATCATTGTCCAGCATGCAGTTACTGTATTATCCTTTTTTATGCCGAAGAAATGTTGCTAGAATTAGCTCGCATGAACTTGGTTATTTTGTAATTTGCATTTCACCTGTCATTAATTTGAGGGCAAATTCCTCCCTACAGTTTGATATGCTTGTGCGTTGGTATTTATAACAAACAATTAGATCACATTTGTTATGTTATTTATAGATCACTGCTTCTGTTAGCATGCCTGTATTCATGCGTGCCATTCCTTCTGTAATCTTAAGCCTCATGATATGTGACTTCTTGTGTTTGCTGCAACAAAGGATTATTTTTTGTTTTTGGGTACTGATTTGTCCTGTCATGCATATTTACTGGGATGTGCTTCGATGTGTCAATAGGACATCCATGCTGAGGCTGCCAAGAAGAGGCGCCGCACCACCAAGAAGCCGTACTCACGGTCGATTGTTGGTGCCACTCTGGAAGTTATCCAGAAGAAGAGGGCTGAGAAGCCTGAAGTCCGTGATGCTGCCCGAGAAGCTGCTCTCCGGTAACATATTCAATCTCTTTATTGCTGTTCCTGCATTGTGTCTACTCCTAAATCTTCTGTTGCAAAAACTGATATCTTTGGATATTCTAGCAGCTGTTGATATTATTGTTTGCTTTTCAATCATCTTACCCTTGATTCATCATGTTGCAGTGAGATCAAGGAGCGCATCAAGAAAACCAAGGATGAGAAGAAGGCCAAGAAGGCAGAGGTGACCAAGTCCCAGAAGTCACAGGGGGGCAAGGGCGCCGTGCAGAAGGGTTCGAAGGGCCCAAAGATTGGCGGTGGCGGCGGGAAGCGTTGAAAGTCGATTACGCCATAGACATAGAATTGTGCTGCCTAGCCTTGTTTCCTATCCTACTATCATAGACCTTTGTCAAGTTATTACCCCGCCATCTTGAATTTGCACCTTATCTGTGAGGCTGAATGGTGTTAACGTTTTGGATTGTCTCGATGAGTTTATTTATAATGAATGGTACTTATGTTGGTTCTTGTCACTTGGCTAGTTTTCTCATTGCAGCGGGCGCTTGCTCATTATTCGAAGTTCCTAGTCTCCCGTCCTAATTCAATAGCTTTTAAGTCTTGCTGTATATACTTAGAAAATCAAAACAATGAGATTTATAGGAGCAAGAGCATCGAATGGTTTCACCTGCATGGCACATTGTGAATAGAAGTGAGGCGGTGATTTCGTCGCTCCCCTTCCTCTCCTATCATCGTATTGGCATCGTGAGGGGGAGGGGAGCTCCGGTCTCTCTCGTCCAGGCATGTTTTAGTCTTATAGAGGTTTTCGAGCACTTGTCCAGGCATGTTTTTAGAGTGGTTTTCGAGTTTCCTCTGCCGATGTCATGGTGCTCATACGAATTTGAGGAAGATGGTGGAGAATACGACCGCCTGTTGAAGGGCGGGTTGGCGTTGACCCTGAAGCTGGCGTTGAAGAGGCTCGGACTCCGATTGGTGTTTCTTATCGGGCTAGATCCAGCCTTTAGCTCATTAACGGACATGTTCCTTATCGGGCTAGATCCAGCCTTAGCGCATTAACGGCTCCTGGCTAGGGATGCTTTCCTTCTCTGGCAACGGCGGTATGCAGTTTTCTGTTGTTTATATGCATATATCAATGTTGTTTGTATGCATATCATCTATGTATCCTTAAATAAAAGTAATGTGTGCCTACGGGCGTGCATCCTTTCTTCTGGCTTTGCATTATTCACATCGTTATGACAAAATTGGCTACAGAATAATTAACATCATTCTCTCGGTCCATGGACCCGAGCATCACTCTATAGCTAGCAGGGTCAGCAGTCGACGACACTGCAAGCGGGCGGTTTCCTCACACGACTATCTTCCATCCGCTGCCTGACCTCCATGGCGTCGCCCCATCTATCAGCCCCCGCATACGCATTGCTCATCAGCGTGTAGTCCCCGCTGTTCCCGTCGTCCAGCTCCCTGAGCCTCTCGGCGGCCACCTCGGCGATCCCCAAATCACCGTGCGTTCTGGCCGCCCCCAGCAGTATCCTGTAGACGACGGGCTCAGGAGCGACGGGCATCTCGGCGATGAACCTCAGCGCCTTGGTCAGCCGACCGGCACGCCCCAGGAGGTCGACGACGACGCCATAGTGCTTCATCCGCGGCTCCACGCCGTGGACCGACCTCATGCTCTCGAAGTGGCCGAGCCCCTCCTCGACGAGCTTCCCGTTGGCGCAGGCGATCAGCACGCCGAGGATGGTGACCTCGTTCGGCCTGAACCCTTCGGCGATCATGGCGTGGAAGGCGCCCAGGGCTTCCTCCTCGGCGCCGTTGTTCGCCAGCCCCATTATGATCGAGTTCCATGATAGGGTGTCCTTCTCTTTCATTTCTCTGAAGACCTGCAGAGCCTCCTTGGTGCTTCCGCATTTCGCGTACATGTCGATCAGAGAATTGTGCAGGATGGTGTCGGCTTCGATCCCGTGTCGCCTCACGTAGTCGTGGATCCACTTGCCGAGATCGAGAGCGCCTAGGTGCGCGCAGGCGGAGAGTACACTTGCAAGCACGATCGCGTCCGGTTTCACCTTGGCTCTCTGCATCTTCCTGAAGAGCTCCAAAGCATTAGAGAACTGACTAGCTTGTGAATAGCCAGATATCATAGAGCTCCACGAGATCAGATCTTTGCCAGGAATTTCCTCGAATAACCTTCTTGCCGAAACCAGATCTCCAGCTTTTGAATATGCGGTGATCATTGCGTTCAGTGTCACGGCGTTCCTATCCTTCATGTTAAAGAAAACCTTTTCTGCTGATCGGAGCTGACCACGCCTGCCATAGTAATCTATCAGAGTATTGCCCAAGTAAATATCCACCTCTATGCAGTAATCCTCTATGTATCTAACCAAGCAATCCGCCATGCTCCAATCTCCTAGACGAGTGCACGCAGAAACAACCTTGACCATAGTGACCTTATCAGCTCTCACTCCTGCATCGTGCATCAACTTGAATAACTTCAAAACCTCTTTCAATCTATTGCACCGGCTATATCCACATATCAAAGAGTTCCAGGACACCACATCCTTAACTGGCATCTCATTGAAAACAGATCTTGCACAGCACAAATCACCACAGGCAGCATACAGATGAATCAGCGAATTGGAAACAAAGATATCTGAAAGAAGCCCGAACTTCAGTACATGGCTGTGCATCTGTTTCCCTTCATTAAGAGCACCAACCCTTGCACAGGCCTTCACTACGAACGGAAACGTCAGGTTGTCCGGCTCCATGCCTTTTCCTCGAGCCTTGTTGTAGAAAGCGATTGCATCTTCTGGTGCATCGCTTTGAGCAAGCCCCCTGAGTATGATATTCCAAAGGTAAGTTGTTGGCGCTTCAATCTGCCCATATACTTTATGAGCAAGAACCAAATCTGGTTGTAGGATAGCATAGAATCTGAGAATCTTAGACATTGCATATTGGCAATTGTACAGCCCAGAAACAATGAGATGGCCATGAAGCTTCTTTATGGCTTCCATCATTACAATGCTGAAAGAAAACTGGATTTTTTCATGAACTGTGGATCAGTGAGGGGAAATGCAGTACGGCACATGTCATTCAACACCTCTGCTTCCTGCAAGGGATTACCAATATTAGTAAAGAAGCAACAAAAAGTAATACTGTGAACTAGTACAAAAGCGACAAACAATAACACCGTGAATTAGTCTTTTTGAAAGTGGAATAAATGAGCACACTGTCGATGCTTATTAACAACATATATAAAAAATAGCGAGCATTGGATAACGAGATGGTGGTGTTTAAATACAAGGTATACAAAGGTCATATGATTCAACAATCATTCAGCAGCCAAGAAGAAATAAACTGACTTAGTTCTTTTAACTTTGCATGAAAGATAATAGATAAAAGGTAAAAGAACACAATAAACCCACCATAAAGTAGGAAGGCTATTTGGTATAATGCAGGGAGACAATTCTAATGATGGAACATAAACTCTTAAAACTATGTGGAGCTTCTTCCCAATAATTTGGTTCCGACTTACTGACTCTCGCCAACCAAAGCAAGCCCAGGAACCTTAACAGTATTCATCTCATCTACTAGCTTCCGTGCTCTTTCAGCATCACTAAACCTTCCAAGCTCAGTGAGCATATTGGATACCACCACAAAATCACCTCCAGATTCTCTTTCGATGTCTAGTATCTTCTTCATTGCCCTCTCCCCCATCTCCACTTCCCCATACTTGCTGCAACAACCCAGCAGTGTCCTCCACACGACTGAATTAACCTCTATTGGCAGACCACTTATTACTTGCTCGGCCTCATATAACCGTCCAGCCCTCCCTACCATGTCTATGATACACCCAAAATGCTTGATCTCTGGAGTTAGACTGTATTCATACACCATGCTTTTGAAAAACTGTACTCCTTGCTCGACCAGCCCACCATGGCTGCAAGCATTGAGAACGCTCAAGAAGGTGACTCTGTTAGGCCTGATTCCAGCTCTTCTCATCTCTGCAAACAGTTCAACAGCCTCAGTTGACAACCCGTGCATTGTGAAACCTGAAATTATTGATGTCCATGACACCAAGTTTCTCCTATCCAGCATTTCATGGAAAACCTTCAGTGAGTTCTGTACAGACCCAACCTTGGCATACAAGTCTATGAGCGAATTACCAACTCGGATATCCAACACAAGAAGACCCTTCTTCTCACAGTAGCCGTGCAAGGCCTCACCCAAAAGAATCCTTCCAATATTAGATACCGCAGGTACAACCGCTAACACAGTTATCTCGCTTGGATCAACACCTTCTGCCATCATGCGGCGAAAGAGAGCAATGGCCTCTACCGAGCGACAGGAGCGCGTGTACCCATCAATCATCCCGGTCCACGAGACAACATTCCTACAGGGCATCCGCTCAAAAAGCAGCCTCGCGTACTCAACCTCGCCCCGCGCAGCAAACCCGGTGATCACCACGTTCCAAGTAACCGCATTCTTGGCCGGCATCTCGTCGAACGCGATCCGAGCATCCGCCAGGCACCCGCACACGACATAGGCATTGACGAGGGCGGTGTGCACGTAGGCGTGGAACTCGAACCCCTTCCGGACGGCAAGCCCGTGCAGCTGCACGGCAGCCCGCGGCCACGCCAGGGCCGCGCAGGCCCCGAGGGCGTGCACGAAGGCGTAGGTGTTGTCGGCCGCGTGCCGCCGCGCGTCCCTGAAGAGGCTCAGTGCCTCCTGCGGGAGAGGGCCGCGGGAGTAGGCCTTGAGGAGCGCGTGCCACGGCGTGGGACGGCGGTCGAACACCTGGCGGGCAACGAGCTGGGCGTGGATCTGGAGGAGCGGGCGCCTCTCCGCCTGGTATCTCAGGAGGAGGGCCACCAGGCCCCGGACGTGGGCGGCGGCGGCGTCGTGGGAGGGCGCGCATCCCTGCCTCCAGAGGTCAGCCGGGAACCGCGCCATGAGGGGCTCCGTCTCCTCCAGACCTACTACCCAACGCCTCTCTCGTCTGCTTAGAATTATTATGTCATGGTGCAATGGAGAGAGATAGAGAGAGAGAGGGAGAGGCATACCCTTGTCTAGCGAGAAGGTGGAGCAGTGGAGGAGGCTGGACTCGAAATCGTCCGAGGCTTTCTCCCTCCCGCGCCGGCGTCCAAGACAAAAAGATTGTGTTTTGCTTGCCCTTGCCGGGCGTACTACGTTGCTCTCTTGTCCTCACTCCTCGCTCCTCCTCCATGTTGCGTAGGGTTCTCGCGGGAGCGATCGTGCGCCTCTCCGGCCCCGGATTCTCCAACCCGCCACCGAGGAGTCGGCCTGTCCTTCTGCCCATTGCCCCGCGCCTTTCCACCGCGCGGGAGCCGGCCGGCGGCGAGAGCGAGGGGGAGGAGGACGACCCGTTCTCCTTCCCGGACCAGCAGCAGCTCCCGCCCGACGTGGCGCGGGGCGTGGACGCCGTCGTCACGGCGGCCGAGGGCGCCCACCTGGACGCCGCGCGCGCCGGGGCCCTCCTGGAGCAATGCGGCGCCGCGGCCTCCGAGACGCTCGTGGTGGCCGCGCTCTCGCGCCTCCGCAACAGCTGGGCCGCCGCGCACGCCGCGTTCCGGTGGGCGGCCGCGCGGGCGCGGCAGCAGCCCGGGTACGCCCCCGGGCGCCACGCGTGCCACTCCATGCTCGCCATCCTCGCCAGGCACCGCCGCTTCGACGACGCGCGCGCCCTGCTCGACGAAATGCGCCGCAGGTCGCTCGCGTCGCCGAGGGCGGTGCTCCTCCTAATCCGGCGATACTGCGCCGCGCGAGACGTTGCTAGCGCGATCGCCGCGTTCCGCGCGCTCCCGAGCTTCGGCATTGAGCCTGGGGTCGCCCAGTTCCATGGCCTCCTCAGCGCCCTCTGCCGGTACAAGAACGTCAAGGACGCGGAGCACCTGCTTCTGTCCAGCGACAAGGAGTTCCCGTTCGAGACCAAGGGCTTCAACATCGTGCTCAACGGCTGGTGCAACATGGTCTGCAGCGTGCGGGAGGCCAAGAGGTTTTGGACCGTCATGGAGCTCAGGGGCGTCGCGAGGGACGTTGTGTCCTATGGGAGTATGATCTCGTGCTTCTCAAAGGCCGGGAGCTTGGATTCGGTCATGAAGCTCTTTAACCGCATGAAAGAGGCCGGCATTGTGCCAGACCGGAAGGTGTACAATGCAGTTGTGCACGCGCTCGCCAAGGGGCAGTGTGTGGATGAGGCAAGAGCGCTCGTCCGGAGCATGGAGGAGAAGGGGGTTGCACCAGACACGGCCACTTACAACTCCCTCATTCGGCCTCTTTGCAAGGCTCGTCAGATCCAGGAGGCAAGAGAGATGTTTGATGAGATGGTAGGAAGGGGGCTGTTGGCATCAGTGAGGACATTCCATGCATTGTTCGATGTTGCTACGAGCCCCACTGAGGTCTTTGATCTCTTGGATAAGATGAAGGCACTACATTGTGAGCCAGAGATGGACACTTATATTATGTTGATCCGGAAGTTCTGCAGGTGGAAGCAGCACGACAGTGTGGAGAAACTGTGGAACGCAATGCCTGCAAATGGGCTGACCCCTGATCGGAGTGCGTACATTGTGTTCATACATGGATTGTTCCTGAATGGGAAGTTAGAGGAGGCTGCAAAGTATTATGAGGAGATGAAAGCCAAGGGATTTTCACCAGAGGAGAAGACTGAATCAATGATACAGGCGTGGCGTTCAGGCAGAGAGCTTGCCAAGGCGTCAGCTTCTGTCGGTTCAAGACGTGGTTCGGTGTCTCTCAAAGTAACTCGTAGAGAGTGGTAAAGACGAAGACCACTTGGAAGTGGTCTATAAAGAGGGACACAGGTGTTGTTTTGGAGTAACTGGTAGAAACTTTGGAGAGAGATTATTTGGTTATTCAGAAAGATGAGTCTGATTACCCTCAAGTGATCTTCATCTACTTTGTTCTGGCCGGTTTGGTCAAGGAAGCCACGCGCGCAAGGGCCTTGCTTTCGTTAAGAGTTATTGTCAGCGATGACCTCAGCTGAGGGTATGCTGTTTGGTTTCCTTTGTTCCAGTCTGTAATCAAACTTTGTTCCTTCTAACAAGAAGGCGCAGAGCTCCTGCCGTATTTGAAAAGAGTATGTTTACCCAGTTATTTTCGTTCTCACTAGATTGCTTGGCTGTAGATCGGAAGTAGAAAGTGCAACCTAGGGTTTATTCTGTTTAGACTTGGATAGGCATCACTTTGCTGTAACCCTTCTTTTGTAGCTCATAGTTTGTACTGGGTACATGTTTGATGATTGGTTCACAACATATAATGAGTGTCCACCATATTCATACTGGTCCGACTCCTATACTTTCGCATTATAATATGTGCAGAGATTTTACAAAATAATGAGAGCTCATTTCATATGGTTTGATACTAAATACACATTTTCAATATGTAGTTGTATTCAATATTAGCAGTTTCATTTTCATGCTTACAACAATTCCCTTAGTGCACTGGCATATTTATTCACATATAACCATTTAGTGACCGCTCATCCCATTGCAGAATCGGCCGCCGTGTGAAGTTTTAGGTTATATAATTTTCTTCTTGACAAACATATTGTTCTCTTTCTGCCAGCCAGCCATTGCAACCTTTCTGATAGCATTAATTCAGTGCATGTGCACACTAAATAGTCCAGCTACAAGAGCACATTGGATCGAAGCTGGAGCGGGTTGCTGCCAGCCTGCTTGTAATCAATGAATCTGTTGATTCTGAGGTGAGCGTTTACCAGACTTCCAGTTATATCTGATCAGTTAGGTGTTATTTTCTCTGGTATCCTGTGGCTTCAGTTAGGCCTAGTAGCTGTAGGTGATTCGATCATACCGACGATAATATGGTACGCGTCAAAAATTTATCTTCGCATGTGATGTTTCAAGACCTTTCTGTAATATCCTGTAGGATATCCCTGCTAACAGCAAGTAGCTTGTTCTGTCAGTTGTCACTACATATATCCTGATCTCTGTTATGCAAGTCCAGTCTCCAAAAGATGGTGTTGATGCAAAGTTGCTTTAAATTTTGTTGATAAGACGATGACAGGTAATGGATACAGTTATGGTGAAAACAACTTACTTTGGCTGTACAAGATACAGCCAACTGAGCCATGCTTGTCATACTAGTGCCCACTGTCAATTTCATGGCGTCTTATAGCTGCTAGCCTGCAAGTGTCGCTAACTCATATGACTCATGATGCAGACTAACATAGTGCATGATCACGTCCCAACTTTAACCGATAGCTGCGTGGTCGACAACCAGTTGCAGTCTGCCTGTTCATGTATGCACTGAATGTTACCATTATACTGTTAATATCTGAACCTTCGGATAAACACCAAATTTTTTTTTAAACAATTGGAAGTGGTGAAAAATGAAATATCAGCTGTGAAATAATCATATATTACCTCTGTCTAACACTAAAACTGTCTAGATACATCCGTATCTAGACAAATCCAAGACAAGTAATACGGGACGGAGGGAGTATATGTTTCAGATTTGTTTCAGATTGATCAAAGGTCAGAAGAACAAGTTTGGTGTTTAGACTTGAGAATTTGAGATTATTATGAGAACAAAATCACATGTTTGTTCAGAATACCAAATTTATAGATCGAAACCAAAGAATAAATACTGCTACAAGCCTACCACCACATCTTCAGAATCATGCCTGGGAAATCTCTATCTCTTTCTAGTTCAACAAAGTAAGTATATTTGTCTAATCACTTCTATTTCCAATAATTTACACCATATCTTTCTGGTTCCATCTCAGAATGGTGGCAAGATTGTTTGCCACATCGGCCTCATCATCTGCGGTGAGCTCATCGACTGTAGGTAGCCGCTGCCGTCCTGCCCAGGCATCGTCGCCGGGTTCACCATCTGCCCCATGTTCATATAGCAAGTCTGCAGGTCGTCCATGCTCAGGCCGGTGAACCAGTCGCTGTCCTCCTTCACCGTCACCATGCCGCCTCTCGGCTGCCCCTGCGCCATGTCCGTGAAGACGCGCTGCTGCAGGCCAGAGGCGCTGTCGATCTCCGAGGAGTCGTGCGTCTGGAAGCTGTCGGACATGGCGTCGGTCGCCAGCGCGTCCATGACCTCCCCGTTTGGCCCGGCCTCCACAGCCATGTCCTGCTCCACCTTGACCTTCTCCCAGTTGTTCTTCTTGTTGTACAGCCGGCACAGCACCCATTCGTCCAGCTGCAATAGCCGCACATCACATAGAGAGAAGGATCAGTATTCAGTATCGATCGATGAATCAGTATTGTTGGTGAGCAAACTGCGAACTGGAAGACGTTGGGGTTACCTTGAGGGATCCCTTCTTGCCGGGTGCGCGGTCGGCTTCGGCGATGCGGTACTCGTGCATGATCCAGTCGGTCTTGACGCCCCTGGGCGCCCTGCCGGAGTAGAAGACGAGCGCCTTCTTGATGCCGACCGTCCTGCCGCCGCTCTCCTTGGGCGCCACGGGCTTGTCGGCGCCGGTGGCCTTCCAGTAGCCGGTGCCGGCGGAGCGGTTGGGGCGCGAGCCGTTGGGGTACTTGCGGTCGCGTGGCGTGAAGAAATACCACTCCCTGCTCCCGAACAGCGCCCTCTCTGCACGAACGAACCCGCGGCCAAGGTCAGCGCGGCACAGCACACATTGAACCACCAAGAAGGAGGAAGAAGGAGAAGAGAAAACAGGGGAGGGGAGAGAGAGGAAGAAGAGAAGGCGCACCGGGCAGATCCCAGGGGTTGAACTTGTAGAGATCGACCTCGGCGATGATGGGCACGGGCTGCGGCTGGCCCGCCACCTTCCTGCAGAGGTAGTGCACGACGAGCTCGTCGTCCGTGGGGTGGAAGCGGAAGCCCGGCGGCAGGTTGAGCTCCGCCTCCGCGTCCCTCCGCCCGCTGCTCCCCTCCGCCGCCGTCGGCTCGGCCTTCACCATTGCCGTCATCATCCTCCCCCTCCTCGCGTTCGCTCGCCCGCTCCACCACCTTGGAGAAAAGAAAACCCCGGCCGCGCCCGCCCGGTGCTGGAAGAGAAGAAGAAGAGAAGAGAAAGGCGGCTGCAGGTTGTGATACCGCCTCCTGGGACCTGGAGCCTTCTCTTTTGTTGATGGCTCGTTTCCTTGGCGACCAAGTACGTTTGTAGGGCGGGGCGCCCGGGTCGGCTATATACGGGCCCCCGCCCGCGCCACGTGGGCCGGGGCGGGCCCGCGCGTGTCCCCGAGCTGCTCGTGGGCTTCCGTTGTTTGGATGAGGAGGACGGCCGTGCGCTGCTGCGCGGAAGTTTCCCGCGGCGACAAGAGTTTGACCCTCCCGACGGCTGGGCTGAAAGGGACGGAAGAGTCAAATGCGCGACAGCCGGGAGGGATTTTCCGGCGGGAAAATATATCCCCGCGACCACCTCGGCGGCTCGTCGAATGGCCGCGCGTCTAGGTGCGTCGGCAGGCGCGGGCTGCTCCTCTCTGTTCTGGACCTCTCATCCGCATTGCACCACGTGCGGATTGCGCTTCTTGGCTATCTGTGAGCTGCGGCAGCCACGTACCATGTCGTAATACGTGGAGGAAGGTATGAGGACATGAGCTTACGACCCGCGCATGCATGCATGAAGGTTTTCCATCGCGCCTTGGATTTTTCTCCGGGGAAAACTTTTAAAAGGTTTAGGGATCACGCTAGCTAGAATGCTAGTACGAGTAGATGACCCTTCAAAGATGACATTGTTTAGTTTCAGCATATAAACGTGGACATATGATCACGTCAAGTCCTATCCCCTATAAAAGAAAAAAAACGTGGATATGAACCATCCTCTACCACGGGCTGCTTAAACATGAGCGAATGCAAGCGCGCCTGTTATGTTTAATTAAGTGATTATTAAGCCATTGGATGTACATCTGATTCAGATTTTTTTTAAAGATCTTATATATTTGTGAATGGAGAAAGAACATGATATGCACGGCATGACATTTGTATCTCATCTACTAGTATGGATCATCACGGTGCTACTGGCCAGCACAGTTAATTCCCATGCGGCCAGAGGCGGAGCTAGCATCGGATTACACCTAGGGCTAAGTACCTTGAATGATGCACTTTGATGATTTTTTCATACTTTTGAAGAAGAAATTATAAGGGTCATTGTTCCTAGGCCTAGGGCTATAGCCCTACTTGCTATAGGCCTCTCTCCGTCCCTGATGCGGCCACAGAAGGATATGCTTGGAACATTATTTATCTTCACAATTCATAATTCCCATGCCGATCGACAGAACAGAAGGATATGCTCGGAACAACACATCATTTAAACAATTCAAGTTCCTCAAAAGGAAAATTTAAACAATTCGAGAGGATAATACTCAAGCTTGGCCTGTTCATACCGAAGCATACATAGGAGTACCTAGTACCGCCATTTGTTTACCTAGTCAGGGACACCTAGAGAGACAGAGTAGGTGTATCTCCTCTTGTCTGTAGTACAGTAAAATAAAGAAACCTGGCCCCAATCTGCACGTGCCTCCCTCCTCCTGGATGGCCACCTACGTGCACTGAACCTGAACCTTACCCGGGTGCGCCTCCAGCCGCGACGGCGGGGTGGGGTGGCGAGCAAATCCTCGACCCGGCCGGCGGAGGTGCGGTTGGTCGGCCAGCCGTACAGCAGATGAAAGAAAAAGGATAGCGCCTTGTCGACGGCCGAGGTTTCTCATTCCCCCGGCGGTGGACTACGGTATGAAATTCCAGCCGAAAAGGACGGACGGGCGGGCGGGCGGGCAGCCAGTTCCGGGGAAAGCGATGGACTTTTTGTCGTGGCTGACAGTGAGCTTACGTTTTCCCATGGGCGAGAACTGGGTTGGGCTGGGGATTTTCTTCGACTTAATAACTGACAGATTGTTATGTTAATTTGCTGTCAGGTTACCGCACTTGGTATCGCACAGCTGGTGACTGCCGGGATTAGCTGTGGTCCGGTGAGTAGTATATATGTCGCGTTGCATACATCACTGGCCGTGTCTCAGCTATCGGAATGACAGGGAGCACTCGAGATATTATCCGCCGATACTTTGGTGGGCCCTTGATGGATTTCTGTGGAAGCTTTGTTTCTGTTTTGTTCCGTAAACTATTGCGAAATTTGAAATTAAGACATGTGGGAGGAGGTGTGTGGGCAAGTTAACAGGATTTCGGCATCGTAGTTGATTTTACATGTGGTGTGCTTTTAGAAAATGATGACAATTGGGTGCGTTTGGATCCCGTGCTAGTTTACCTCGCTAGGCAAGGCTGGCCTTGCTGACGGAGGCTAGCCGAGTTGGCTCGCTCACTGAACAAAAGAGAAGTCTGGAAATCGCAGGTAACGAGGCAAGCTAGCTCAGGAACCAAATTCATCACTTCCTTGTTGTGCCGGGCTAAGCGAGTGCTTGACGGATAACCAAACGCTCCCTAAGTTACCACCATCTTGCCAAACAGGGGAGTATCCAAACTCCACACCACAGCCAACAGTGTCAATGTTGGGGCTATAAAGCCCAGTCCCGCCCTAGGAGTGACGGTTCTGTAATTGATAAAGTCATGATCAGAGGCGGATTCGGCAGGACATTCTCTCTCTCTCTCTCTCTCTCTCTCTCTCTCTCTCTTGCGAGTAAGACTTGTATTATTCAAGGATCCAGGAAATTACAATCCAGCTTACACAAGTCATTCTCGACTATTTTCTCTAGCTAGGGTTGATCCAGTCTTTCCAATTCAGTGTCCTAGTGTTTTCTTTGTTGTCCAACTCCATCACCATGCGCTTGTGTCCTTGTTTGCGATCGTGACCCTCGGTACCATCTCTCGGGATCGGGGTGTTCACCAACGTAAGCCTTTGGCGTGTGCTAAGGCATGTGGCCGTACACCACCCCACCTAGGTCGTCTATGAGCGTTCCATGGAGAATGTGATTGTCACATGCGGAGAAGAAGGTCGTAGGAAGGATTGTCATTGCAGACCAACCTGTGGTTAGATCGTTAGGAGAACAGTGGTATTCCAAGCCCACCAGGTTCAAGTCCTAGGCTTGAGATTGGTACTCGCATTATTTTTGGATTTAGGATGTGTTTGGTTGTTGTCCTGGATCAAATGTGCCTGGCCTGGCGTCTGCCTGAGACCTGCCTGTAGTTTCTTTGGTTGGCATCCTCAATTGTTGAACGCCAGCCTGGCCCAGAGAAATGTCGGTTGTCATTAGCCTGGGCAAAAACTGGAGAATGTAGTTAGCCTGGTCCAGGCATCCAGAATGGGATGCCTAGGCTGTTGGTGTGCTAATCTTGCTTTTGAAAAAAAAACTAGGAGAGACAGATAGTACAGTGGGCTGATGTAACATATTTAATACTCACCAACCAAACACCATGGTACGTAGATTGCCTGGCTAAGCAGAAAACAACGATACCCCAGGCGCATTCCAGGCACACGATTTTGCCAGGCATGGTGTCGACGACATCAACCAAACACACCCTTATTTCAGGCTTTCGACGATGTTCGTTCAATGGTAGGAGACGTTCCCGCTGACCGCTAGGCGCCTGTTGTGATTTCGTAAAATCTGAAGATGCTATGCCGGCTCAGTCTCTCGAAGATGGTCATAGAGGTAGGGTGTGCGTGCATGCGTTCATAGGGGTGAGTATATGCATGTGTATGTGAGCGACTTCGATTGTATTGTGTTCAAAAAAAGAAAGGATTGTCATTTATGAAATGAGACTCAAGGATAAGGAAGATATTCATTGTCAATCATCTCAAACACAAAGATTACTGGAGCTTACAAAGTCACATGTGATAATCAGAAGACTCCAAGCGAGAACAACCCCAAGGAGGTATCTAGTGAAGAATTTGGTCTTATAAACCACAACTTCAACAAAATGTACTCCAAAAACAAGTTCAAGACCAACGACCGTAATTACTCAAGATCAAGGAATGAGCAAACGAGGTCTAGCCTAAAGGAGAGGCATTGTAATAGTTGTGGACAATCCATACTCTTCATTGCCAATTGTCGTGAATCTACCAAGAAGAATGTATATGAAAGTGCAACAATCCCTAGGTGGTTTTGGTAATTCCTAACAACATATAGCTCACTGAGCTAATACTATTCCAAGACAAATATTTGAGGAAAGCTCAATGAATGGCATGGCATAGATGAGGAAAGTGGACCCCTCAAAATACTAAGGATAAAAGGATTTGCTCAAGCTCAAAAGCTCAAGACTCTACATTTTATATTTTAGTGATCCAAGATCACATTGAGTCTATAGGAAAAGCCAATACTATCAAGGAGGGATGAGGTGTTGCTTAATGAGTTTCTTGCTCCATAGTGCTTAGTGATATGCTCCAAAACCCTCAACTACTTTCTCATATCCACATATGACCCAAACCAAAAGTCAAACTCGGCCCCACCGATTCTTTCTATCCGGCGCCACCGAGTTTAGATGTCATAGCCACTGCCACAAACCCTAGGCAAATCGGTCTCACCGATAGGGATCTCGGTCTCACCGAGATGGGATTGTAATCTCTCTATTTCCCTTCGTAACGTTTCGGTCTAACCGAAGTGAGCGATCGGTCCCACCGAGATTGCAATGTAAACTCTCTGTTTCCTTTTTGTAACATTTCGGTCTCACTGAAATGAGCGAATCGATCCCACCGAGTTTACCTGACCAACTCTCTGGTTAGCTTATTACCAAAATCGGTCCCACCGAGTTTGTGTAATCGGTCTCACCGAGATTAGTTATGCCCTAACCCTAACCATATCGGTCCTACCGCATCGCATGTCGGTCCCACCGAAAACCCTAATGGTCACTAGGTTTACTAAATCGGTCTGACCGAGTTTGTTGATTCGGTCCCACCGAGATTGGTAAATTGTGTGTAACGATTAGATTTTGTGTGGAGGCTATATATACCCCTCCACCTCCTCTTCATTCAGAGAGAGAGCCATCAGAACAAACCTACACTTCCAACTTACCATTTCTGAGACAG